TCCTAACGTTTCCCGCAGTTTGAAGGATTCGTAGGGTTGCAGTTCTAAGAATGGGGTTCTGGCAAGATCTTAAGCTGTCGAAGCGCACCAAACACATAGGTATATTCGCGGTGTTGAAGCCCCCGGGATGGCGTTCTGGCACGGCTTAGGCGCGTCAGGACGCAACAGTAGGGTTGATTCGTGGGAGGGGGAAGGGGGTCGAGGCGCATCTCTGCTGAGCCCGAGCCCTCCTCCAGTCTCAGCGGCAATTGGCGGCGCGCACAAGGGGGTAGGGGGAGGGGGAACGCTTCTGAGAAGCAGGGGTGATTCCACGAAGCCTTCCCTTCCCCCCCCCCCCCCCTGCGCGTGGCCGGTGGGCCCAGACCTTGGACGTCATGATCTTTCGGCCCCTCAGAGGCCTCGACCCATTCCGCGAGCCTTCTGAGAAGGCACGCCCCTTCTCACATCCCCCCCCCAGGCTCGCCGCCGACCTTCTTCTGCTCTCTTCGCGTTTCTCCCCCCGCCTCTTGCCAATAGGATTGGGCCCGTGCGCTCTGGATGACAAAACAAGTATAGGGGGGGGTGGATCGCGTGAGGTGATGGGGAGGTGAAAATTAAAAGGAGAAGGCGGCGGGGCTTCTCAGAAGGCCCCCGGCCTTCTGAGAAGGCTTTTCTGCGTCTTCGGGGAAGGCTCAGGAAACTCCTCAGAAGGCGGGGGGGGGGCTCCGAGCCTTCTGAAAACGCCCGCCCCTCCTCACTCCCCCCCCGGGCTCGACGCCGACCTCCCCATGCCCTCTTCCTTTTCCTCGCACCCACCTTCGCCTCCTGCCAATAGGTTTGGGCCTGTGCGCTCTTGATTGGGCCTGTGCGCTCTGCTTCGTTTTCCTACCACCCACCCCCGCCTCCTGCCAATAGGATTGGGCCTGGCCTCTGCGCTCTTGATGATAAGACAAGCACAAAAAAACGGGGGCGATCGCGCGGCGGGGGGCGGCGGAGCTGGGGCCGCCCAGCGAGGGAGGGCGAGCCGGATCGCGCGGGGTGTGGCTCCGACGCGCGCGGGGGGGGAGCTAGGAAAGGGCTGTCCAGCGAGGCTGCATGTGCTGGGCGCTTGTTGAACAACGGGGGCTACATGTGCCTTGCCCCCCTCGCTGTCTCTCTTTCTCTCTCTCTCCTTCTACGCTCCCGCCTGGTTCATCCAGACGCGCACGTTCGTGCTTCTAATCGGCTAAAAATCTTTCCGGGACTTCGCGCTCGTCGGGCTTCCACAAGGGTTTTCGGTGTCTCCTGTCATGTCTGCGCGAGATGCGCAGACATGACAGGAGACAGGCCGCTCAGAGGCGGGAGTGAACGTTTTCTGATTCGGCGTTTCGACACTGGGCGGGGGCGGGGGATCGAGGGAGGGGGTCTGGCTCCGGCTCTGGATCTCAGCTTAGTGCGAGTATTTGCAACACTGCGTCCTATGGCGGAGAGAGGCTCCACCTGTGCGAAACGGGGACCATAAACAGCCAAGATCTACTCCAAGGGGGCGGGGGGGGGAGGAGTGCGAGGGCCCGCGCCGATCGGCAAAGCAATGAGTAAGCAAACGAGCGCACCCCGCCTGCCCGCGAACGCCTGCTCACGAGATGATTCAGGGGCGGCCAAGAGGGGGCGTCCAAGGTGGGGGGGGGGCGCAAATCATGGCTGGCGGCACGTGCGCGGCCCAGGGGGGAGGCCAGGGACGTAATGAAGTAAGAAGAGGCGCCATGAATTCTGGGGAGGTATCATGATACTCGCCATGAAATCCACCCCCCACTAGTCACCACCCCCCTCTTGGCCGCCCCCGAATGATGCCTGGAACGGCGCTCAGAGCTGGAACCAAACGGGCGGCTTCGGAACCGCTGGCGGCACTGCCTGCGCCCGCCCGAGACGCACGGCCAAGCTGCCGCCTCTCCTCTCTCCTGGGCCGACAGACCTCGCGCTTAGCGCGCCTTCGTGAATGGGGGCCCTGGGACACACAAGTAAACACACACACACAAATAACAGGATTCCTCATATGCTCCCCCATTTCCCAAGTTTTTGTCTTCCCCCCACTTCCCACATTTTTCCGTATTGCTTGGGGAATCGAAGATGAATTGTGTCTGTGTGCTTTTTTCCCCTCCTGACTTCGCGCCGAGCGGAGCACTGAGCGCGGCCGCTCTCTCGCCCCTCGCGCCGCCCAGCCAGGGACGGGCAGCTCCCGGACCCAAGCAGCGAAGCGCGAGTTCGTTCGCGCCCCCGCGGACGCCCTCGCCCTGCGCCTCTCGATCTTCACCGAGCGCGTTCCACTACTCGCAAAGTGCCTACTCGCAAACGTCTGAAAAAAACAACAGGCCTGCATCGATATCGTACATCCCCCATGGCGGATCCAGGCCGTCTGCGAGTAGCTACTCTGCGAGTATTGGAACGCGCTTGTGGAGATCTGGTTCCTCCCAATGCTTTCTTTCTAGGGAAACGAGGCACTTAAATCTGTACCGCGGGACTGGCGCAACCGCCAGACGATTTATTGCTACTGCCAAGTCTGCATTGGAACCTACATCAAAACTGGACGAACGCATTGTGTGCGCAACCCCGACGGCCTCCAACCGTTTATATGGGACACAATGAAAGCCAATCGCAAAGCCGATCGTATCGCTGCCCGCATCGACGGCTCTGGTGCAGCGACAGAAGCACATCGCCACGCGGTGGACAGCACGAGCAGAAAGAGGAAGGCAAGCAGCAAAAAGGAGCGGGGAGGACAGACGGGAAGGGAAACAGCAGCAGCGCAGGCAAGGCAGAGAACAGCAGGGAGAGGAGCAAGAGAGCGAGCGAGAGAGGAGGCAGCAGAGCAAAAGGGAGGGAAGGCGGAGGAAGAAGGGAGCCCAAGGCAAGCAACGCGCAGCAACAAGGGATTGTTCACCCCAATGCGGCTACTCCACGGAACCCTCCCGGGGAGCATTCAAGCCCGAATGTCGATGAGAGTCCAACCGTGGCGACAAGGGTCCTCCAGGACTAGCAGCGGCGTCGGAACTTTTCATCTGACCTGACGCTGCAAGACATGCAACATCGCAACAAATCGCCACCAGAGCCCCTGACCCATCTTCCGCGTCATCTCTCGCGTCTGTCCACGCTTAATGCCAACAACTGCAACTCCAGGATCTCAGGACTGCCTCCCGTGACGACGACGACGACGACGACGACGACGACGACGACGACGACGACGACGACGACGACGACGACGACGGCGGCGGCGGCGGCGGCGGCAGCGAAGACGACGACGACGACGTCGACGACGACGACGACGACGGCGGTGGCGGCGGCGGCGGCGGCGGCGGCGGCGACGGCGACGACGACGACGACGAGCGACCTGCACCTGCAGCGCCTGCGACCGCCTGGCCTCCGCCGCCAGCTCCGCGGCGGCCGCCGACGCACGGACGCGGTCGAGCTCCGCTGCGGCGGCGCGGGCCCGTGCCTGGAGGCCCTGCGGGCGGTTTGAGCGGGCGCGCGGCATGCGCGGGCGCGGAAAGTGGACGACTTCGTGCTGCCACGACGCCGACGACGACGCCGACGCCGACGACGCCGACGACGCCGACGACGACGACGACGATGGCCACGACTCCGACGACGTCGACGACGCCGACGCCGACGACGACGACCACAACGACGACCTCGACCACGAAGACGCGGACGTCGACGCCGACGCCGACGCCGACGCCGACGTAGACGACGACGACCACGACCACGACGATCACGACGACGCCGACGACGGCGCCGACGCCGAGGCTGACGTCGACCATGACGACGACGACGACGACGACCACGCCGACACCGACGCCGCCAGGCCCCCCTTATACTGGCTACGTGCAGAGGTGATCCTGGGCAAGAGCGGCTCTCGGTGCGCGACTCGGGCTTTGTCAGAACTGGGTTTAAGGGAACCTGGTTTAGTGATGTGTACCGGGGGGCGCCCCCCCCGCCCCGTTCCGCTAACCGGAACTGCCGTCACCCGAAAAACACAAATTACGGTAAACCTGGTTTAGTGAATCTGGCCAATTGAGGGACCCCAGGGCCCTACCACTAACCGGGTCCCCTTACCCGGGGTCCTGGCTATACCCGAGCGGCTCTCGGGGGCCGCGGGCAGGCCAGACCAGAGCGCGCGCGAGCGGCCACTGCCGCCTCGCAGCCGGCCACACCAGGGGTCACTCCGGCGAAGAATGACTCTTACAGTCGGGCTCGATTGGGCAGGACACGATTAATTGTGTCTGTGTTTTTTCCCCTCCTGACTCTTGAAGGGTGCAGGGCCGTCGCGTCTCGGGTGTGCAGGTCTGTGGCCAGGGTCTCGAAGCCGTTGGCCGACCTCGAGCTTTGTGACCACCCAGATTCATCTTAAGCAGGTAGAGTCAGACTCGATTGGACAAGACACGCGAGAGGACACAAGACCCTTCCAGGGGCCACATTGCCACAGGAATGTAGGAAGCAAAGGGTCGCGAGACACAGGACACAAGGGTATCCTTGATCTGGCCGGGTCGACCTCCTAATCCGGGCCGGCTGTACGCATCGCCGACACTACGGTACGGCAAGTTCGCGTAGTGACGGCCCTGACAAAGGAGAATACCGTTCAACTGGTTGAACGATGGGCGGCTGCTCGGATTGCAAGATCATTCCACACGGGACGACTCTGGGCCACTGGCGGCGTATAATTCTGAACGCCCACGACGGGGTCGTCGACGCGTCGATACGACGCAAACCTGCCCCAGCCCGCCGGGTTGACCGCCCCTTGCATGCCATCGCGCCTCGAAACATCCACTGGAGATGAGAACCCAAGCCGGACAAGGAACGCCTTCTGCGCTTCCGCTTCAGTCCAGCGGAGACAGGCGTAAGCCAGTGAAAAGGCAACCTGGTATAGGCCAACTGGTAAATGCAATGTGGGAGTCAAGTGCCAAACATGACAAAGGACGGAGACGCATCCTGTCTGGCACGTGAGTCTGCCCTTCCGCTTGCTGACCTCAGGGCCCCGTGGGTAACTATAT